TGTTCAGTGAGCTATGTCTCATTTTCTCCCTTTTCTGAGGGTGAAGATGGTTATGGTACATTCCACCATTCCACATCATACATCACCAAGCAAGGGGGTACCAAATCCAGGTCTCTTTATTTTCGGACTCCGGAGCTTCTATTCTGGGCCCACAAGCACCAGATTCAGCTCTTGGCATGCCATATTCCTGATTTTCCATATTGTAGATATTGTTTTGCCATATGTTATACTTATTAGTAAAATTATGATCAATTATTTAATTAGTGTCAATGAAAACAATAGATTTTTAATTTCTTTGTCAAGACAAGGAAAATACTGTATTCCAGTACAGTATTCAAATGTGCAAACTTCCAGTGTTCATTTATCTATTAAAACTGAGGTTTAAATTTTCAATCAAATCTTTATTATCAGGTGAAAGACTAAGTTTCTTAAGAACAATATTTTATAAAATAAATTAATTAATGAAACGAATTGTGATAAATTTACTACCAAATAAAAGAGAATAACAAAATAGCTGTTCAGAAATATAATACAATTTAGGTTTTCATTTCAACATAATTAGAGTTTATCTGTGAATTAGTAGATCTGGTAACTCAGTACATAATGTCAAACTCTGTCTGTAGCTATGTTCGCTTTAAAGTAGGTTTGACTGCTTGATCATTGTAAAATGTCAGGGTATTTGTTATATTAAATTTTGCTTAGCAAGATGAAGCTATTATTTGATTTTGTGGAAAAAAAAAAGTTGAAATTCTTGCCACTTCTTAAAACTGTATGAAAACTAGTTGGTAGGAAAGTTGAAGGTATAACAATGTTTGTAAATGATTAGTAGGGAGAAATAAGCAAGGTGGTTGAGTCTATGATACAAGTATTACCATATATTTCTGTAGAGTCATTTTAGAAAGAAAAAAAGTATTTCACTGAACATAAAATTAATTGTATTATTGATGTAAAATTCCTAGAGTGTGTGATACCATACATATTAGCTTACATAAAAGTATACATGTGAGTGTTTTTCTGGTGGTTGGTGTGTATCTGTCAGGTTTAGTTGTTTAACAATTATCATCTTTACAATTAGAAACCCAGCTGAAGGTTTCTTATTGTACAACCAGTGGGAACAATTACAAAATGTGACTTGTATAATAAACAAAAGAAATAAC